AGTTTTCTTAGTCACATTTTTTTATTACTATTGTACTCATATAAAATATTTGATATCATTTAATATTTGTTCAATTTTAAAGATGGAGCGTGGTAGACATTCTGTAGATATGGGTAATCTCCAACGCAACCGCAAGAGAGAGATTGCGGCGACTCGTCCCACTTCACGCGAAGGCAAAGGTAAAGCGCGGGCCGAGTCTTCTTTTCAAAGTCGAGATGATTTTGAAACGGATTACCAACGGAGAGATGATATGGCGATGTCCGACGAGCAACTACAAAACCTATTTTCCCGAAATGATCCACGCTTTGCACAAGAACAACAAGTCTCGACAACCATTGATGAAGAGGAGCTCGAGGATGACGATGCGGAGGAGGACGAGGGGGGCGACGGGACTCACGGCACCCCGGATGATGAGCAAGAGTTGGAGGACGAGGGCAGTTCATCCCAAGTTGGTAAGAAATCTAAATCTCCTATTATTGAAAACAATTTTACAAAAAGGAAAGACAAAAATACCGATAAATGATACGCAAGTTGCAATCATTGCAACAAAGAGTATAGCTTGGGAACTTCTGGCGGATACGGGAGTCTGACAAGGCATCTTAAGTCCGCCCACCTTGTGGAGTATGCGAAAATAAACAAAGGCAAGGGGAAGCAAACACAAATATCGAGGTTTGCAAATTCTCAAGCCTTTGGTAATTTCTCCTATGATGATAAAAAACATTTGACTGGTATGTCTCATTTAATTGTTGAAGAAAATTTACCCTATATTTTTTCCGAAAGTCTTGCGGTAAGAGATTATGCTCAAGGTGCTTTAAATCCTCAATTTAGAAATTATAGTCGCAAAACCATTAAAAAAGAAGTTATAAGGCATTATAACTTGGAAAAAGAAAAATTACAAACATTTTCGCAAACTTTGATGGACGTGTTAGTATTTGTAGCGATATATGGGAGTATACTTATCATCATTTACATTATTTGGGTCTTACTGCACATTATATTGATGATGATTGAAATATGCATAAATGTGTTCTTGCTTTTTGTGAATTCAATGATCATCACACTGCTGATAATATTTATATTCTCATTGAGCGTATTTTAATTGAGTATAATTTGATTGATAAGGTGTTTGTTGTAGGTTTTGATAATGCTAGTAATAATACTGCTGCTATACCTAGATTGTGTGTATTGTGTGGCGCTTCTACATTGATGGGTAGGTTTTTTCATCAACGTTGTGCATGTCATATTCTAAATTTGGTGTACAAGATGGGTTAGCGGCATTAGGAGATGCTTTGGAGGTAGTGAAGGTGGGGAATTAAATTGATTTGAGCTAACACTCCACTAAAAATGCAATGGCAGCAATATTTGAAGGAAAGACGTGTCAATTATTGTGCTTTTCCTAAAGATTTGTCTATTCGTTGGAATAGTATTTATAACTTAATTCAAGTACTTATTAGATATAAAGATCATTTTCCTGCTTTTTTAAGACAAACTTGTAACTATATTATAAACCCGGCTGACATCGACACTTGTGAAAAAATTGTTAATGTTTTGGTATATTTTAATAACGCAACTCAAACTTTTAGTCATGTTTATAAACCTACCGCAAATGAATTTTTTGTTGAAGCTGTTAATCTCGGCGGCGCTTTTTGTGAATTTTCCGATGCCGCTTACGTTAGTTATTTTTGTGATTTCATGAAACTAAAGTTTTTAAAATATTATTCACATATTCCGCATATATATGGTATTGCATTTGTTCTTGATCCTCGTTACAAACTTGCTTACTTGGCAAATTGTATAGATTACTATTATGCTTCTTTTTTTCCAACTCAAGAGTTCGATGATAATCCCATCGACCCTAAACAAGAATACAACGAGGTTAGTAATTTATTTCATCAATTGTATAATGAATTTCATGCATAGTAGGGTAATGCACCTCCTCCCATGCCGCGAACATCTTTTTCATCTAAAGGAAAATCACTTTTAAAATCTGCATTTGGTTCTCTTTTGAAAAAAAGTAGAGCAACTCCCGCTACTGAACAAAGCTCAGTTAACAAGCTTTCTTTGTATCTAACATTGAATGTTGATTATGAAGTTGGGGATGACTTTGACGTTCTTAAGTGGTGGAAGGAAAATGAAAGAATGTTCCCAGTTGTATCAAAGATGGCTAAGCAAGTGCTAGCAATGCCGATATCAACAGTTGCCTTGGAACAAGAATTTAGTGTGGCCGGCAATGTCCTAACCGATTATAGAACGAGGTTGAGCCCGAGCTCTCTTGAGACGCTAGTTTGCTTCCACGATTGGTTGAAGGCCCAACAAAGAACTCAAGAAATAACCATCACTCCCACCCGCCACTTTATGGAGGAAACAACCGCCGAAGGCGGAGATTCCGATTGATTTTTTATTACAAAATGTATTACATTTATTAAATTCATCCTAATTCTCAATTGTACTTCTTATTTAAAATAAATATACTTGAATTATTTTATATTATTGTGTACATCAATTCAATAATCAACAAAAAAAATTATTCAATAATCAATTCAATAAAATTAATTTGTAAACTTGTACTTCATATTTCAAATAAATATGCGTTTATTTTTTCATATGTAGCACTTCTCAAATTAATTAATTGGTTACAAACTTACAAGTTACAACTTCAAATTATTTTTGTAAAATGTAAAGGCTGTTTTTAAATTAAAAATACATTTACAATATGTAATTTGTTTAAATACTTATACACCTATTTTGTAACATTTGTAAATTATAAATCAAACCACTTTTCTAAGTAAAAATAGTTTTACTTAATTCATTAAATTAATTAACTTATTTTACAATTAGAAAATGTATTTCATATTGTTGTTTTCTTCTCAAATGTATTTCCTATTTCAAATAAATGCACTTGAATTTTGTTTTTAATAAGAATTTGTATAATAATATAATATATAATTAAAAAAATAATAATAAAAGGCCCGGCCCGGCGGGTGGCCCGGCCCGTGAACCGGGCGGGTGTCCCGGCCCGAACCGGACCCGGGGGTTACCCGGGCCGGTTCAGGGCCTCCCCTTCCCTGAACCGAGGCCCGGGTCCGACCCGGCCCGGGTCCATCCCTACATACTAGGAGATTACGCTCCTGCTCCGCGCACCTCCCAACTTACTATGCGCACCCCTATTTTTCCATCGTCGGACAGTTTTATCCTCTTTCATACGGAGTTATTAGCATGTGTATATGTCACGCAAGACTTACGCCACTAACAGTATAATGCACTCCCTAATCTGTATTGCTTATTAAATTTATCCTCTTTCATAAAGTTAAATCCTAATGTTTTAATTTAAAATATTTTTACAATCTTTTTATATAATAGGAGATGAATATGAAGTTGGTCTAAAAAATTGTACTCTTGACTTTCAGTATGTTTTTACTTGAACTGAAATTTGCTGGTCTGACCTGATATGAACCGGTCTAGTATGGTCTATTAAATGTTTGGTATTCGTGTATTTTATAAATATGAAAGTCAGGTTCGTTCTGATCTGGTTTGATTAAATCTGGTTTGGTACTGAAAACAGTCCAAGTAAAAACATTCTCATTCGTACGAGATATTTTTTATCTGAATTTATATTAATAAATTCACCTGCCTACTACTTGTATCTTAATTTTTATTTTTGATCTATATCATTATGTCTATCACATTGTGTTTATCACATACGATGTTTTATCACCTGAATATTGTTTTTATTCAATTATCATATAACTATAATTGACACCTTTTACGATGTTTTATACGATAGTATTTGACTATTTTCGATTCGAGACCAAACGAGACAAAGCGTAAACAGACTAGTTCAGGAGTATATTTGCACATTTCCCCTATTCTATATTGTAGAAAAAATATATATTTATTTTAATAATTATAATAAAGATCAAAACTACTTTCCCTCAAGATTTGATTTTAAATAAGTCCCTTGCTACAAATATCATATGATAGTACGGTACTAGGGAGTATTAAGCTTGACTGCTTCATCTTAAATTTAAAGTTACAATTATACGGAGTATTGATTTCTAAAACAATGATGTTCATTCTTAAAACTTAATGCAGGTATGAACTTAAAAAATAAGATGAGAGGGCATACATGTCCAAAAAAGGTGCGCGAAGCATGTTTGGGGGTGCATAAAGCAATACCCAGGAGATTATGAGTAGAGAGGATTAGTGCTGGACTCGGGCCGGGCGGCCCGGCCCGGTTACTGTTTGGCCCGGCCCGGCCCGGGGCCCGGTGGGTCCCTCGGTTCGGTTCGGCCCGGCCCGGCTGCTGGGCGGTTCGGGCCCGGGCCCAGGTTTTGGTGAACCGGCCCGGCCGGTTCGGGCCCGGTCCGGGCCCGGTCCGGGCCCGGTCCGGGCCGGATTTTAATTTTTTTTTTTTTTTTTTTGAAATTTTTTTAAGTTTTAGGTTGGATTAGGTATTTTGGGCCATTTGAGGTGGTTTGGGATGGTTTGGGGTTGAGGGGGAGGGGTAGGGGATTAAATAGGAGAACAAAAAAAAAAAAAATATTGGGCCGGTTCGGCCCGGCCCGGCCCGGCCCGGTTTGGCCCGGAACCGGGACCGGAACCGGCCACCGGCGGTTCGGGCTCGAGCCTCCCTTTCCTGGCCCGAGGCCCGGCCGGGCCCGAACCGGCCCGAGTCCAGGCATAGAGAGGATAGTAGGAGAATGACTACTTAAGGTGTGAGAATTTTTTATTTTAAAATGAATGAGTATTCGTAGAATATTTTAGGGACTGAACCCATTCCAGTCCCTAAAGAACACACCCGGACTAGGTAACATAAACCGTGGACAGCAAGGCCGCTTCTGGACAGGGATAGGAAACCGATCCCGGGTCAATCCCAAACAGTGCCAAACCCTGTTCTGGGCCAGTTGGGACTAGCGGAGTAGCGGACCTGATCCACCCCTAAGTCCAATCGGTTAGTTTAGACTACAAATATCTTGTTGTACGTTGAAATGACAATAGAATTAATTTTTAAAATATGAAAAGGCCTTAATTAATTAATTAAATGATCATCATGTTGGTATATAAGTCTGTTCTTGGTTAACTATTCACGCCCAAGTTGTCATAACTCACAACCACCACCATCATCGTCATCCTCGTCATCGTTGTCATCACTAACAGTGCCTAAGGGATCCACGTCATCGGCAGATCCATCGACCAAACTGGAACCAGCATTTCTCAGACCATCACTACGCATTGTTGTGACACTGTCATTCTCAATGTCCTCACTTTGAACATAAGCTGCTGCTTCGCCGCCGTCTCTCCAACCATAACTACTGACCAATTCATGATCCACTACTTTGGGTGCTTTCCTAGGACTCAACAGTACCAGCTCAGCCAGCTTCCTCCTTGCCGAATACAGACCGTTGGGTTCAATCAACTCTCCTCTCTTGTAAGCCTCTCTGAGAAACACAGTGTGCAGTTTCCCATGGTTCCCCCGCGTGGAGATGTAAAATATGCCCTGGTGCTGAAGGAGGAAGTCTTTGAGCTTCTTTGGCAAATCCATGGCCATCCTGAAATGTGCAATCCTCTCTAAAGTTATCTTCTTTTCAACGGTCAACCACAAGAGCTCATGAATGGTGGCAACCGCCCGCTTCTCCATCCTTTTCTGCGCTTCGAGAGACCTACAATCATACCCCGAGACATCCTCATACGGAGACCAATAAGGCAATCTCTGCCACTTCCACACCGCAATCCTGTAGTACTTCCCAATCTTAAAACCAGGAGGGAAATTCACAATAAACGAGAACCGTATATTCTCAGCCTCCCCGCCCTTCTCTCTATACTCTTTCTCTCTTGCTTTCTCAATACAGCACACCCCCAGTTTCGGGTCTCTCTCTACAATCTCAATGTACTTGTGTCTACTCTCTCCTGTGCCATCAAACAATCTGAAATACTCAGGGTGCTTCAAAATTACCGAGTACTCAAAATCATCCGGCAGCCCAAACTCTTTCCGGGCAATCCGAACATGCTCCAACCGGAGTCGACCAGTGTTTGATAGCATCAGAAGCTTTCTTAGCCGGGTGATGGCATCCGGTATTTGGGCCAAAAGGGCTTCGTTTTCTTGACACATCTGCAACTGAGCCTTGCGGGCGAACCTACAATTTTTTGTGACAGGGAATCAAATTTTATTGGACTGTCAGTTCCAGTCCTGATGAGATTAACTCAACAATTGGGTTTCCATGAACTCAAAAAACAAATTTGAAATTATAATACTGTGTATGTGTAAATACATACATCCACACCATTCACTAACACACATATTGATTTGAAATGTTTTAACAACACCAACAGGTTTACATTCAATTATTATTTGAATAATATTTAAATTTCAAATGCCATATATATAATTTAAGATATGCACGACACATAGATACATACACGCACAGCACAAGTATATGCATATGAGCAACACCTCCAGATATATTGATTGACATGGGTGTTTGTTTATGTATAAGCATTTCGAATATGAATATTTGAATAAAATAAAAAATATGCTAAGAAGATGGCCAAACCAAATACATTATTGATTTCTAGATTTAAAACAAACGGATATGAATACTCAATAATAGCCAAATTTATATGAATTATATCTTGATGACTAGATTTAATATGTTAACCCTACCTGCAATAGAGAATTCTCTGAACTGGGTGTTCAAATATCTCAAAAATGTGGGGGAATTTGAGTATGAATTTCGCTACTTCATGTTGTTTGAACCCAATCCTGCGTGACAACACGTCCAAGTGAGAAACAGAGATCATGGAGTTCGGCTGGGTGAGGATTAGGTCTTGGAATTTCAGGACTTTACGTGTTTTCTTCTCCACCTCCATGTAGTTGTCAAAGCCATGGTCCCGCACCCGCTGCTGCTTCTTCGGAATAGCGGTAGACTGTGACATGGGTCTTGTACATTGTGCATATAGCATCTTCCACAGGGTGTGGGGGGTTGTGATGGGTTCAAATCGGCAGGTTTTCAAAATTGTCGTTGGAGTAAAAATTGCATATTTCATTTTGAAGGAACGAATATGGTATATTAGTTGGAGTCAGAGAATCTCATACATCAGTACAATTGCAACTTAAAATGGATAGTAGTTGGATAGAAAAAGGCCAAAATGCAACTCTTCAGCTTTTCTACTTCACCCTGTCCTGGTGATTACAAACAAAAAAGTTCAAAAAATATCACGAAATGATTACATGCAAAATAAAGAAAAAGGAGATAGACAAGGAATGCTGATATTTTACTGTTCAAGCAAAGAAAAAGATCACAGTGAACCATCACAAAATAATTGCAGGGGTGAGCACTAACAGTTTCAGCATAAAAATGAAATAATCAGAATCTTATTTAGGTGTCCTGTATCTACTGATACCAAGCCAATGTACCAAACTACCAATGCAACTTATCAGTTCATGTCGGCTAATCAAAGTTTCAAAGCCTCAACTTTTAGTTGCTTACCATGCCAAAACAGATAGTAGTAATCATATGTCATTAAGTCATTTAACTTGTCATGATAACATGAATTAAACGGGGATAGTATTTAGGAAGAACAACCGCATCATGAGCATTAAATTGGTGTTAGGGGATCAGATCATGTCCGTGATAATTGTCTGTGCACCACAAGTGAGATTGGATACATCTATCGTTCAACAATTCTGGTAAGATGTTGAGGAAGTGGTGGTACAAGGGCCATGGGGAGAGAAAATGGCCATAGTGGACGACCTCAATGGGGATGTGGGCTCGAGCCATGATGGTTTTGAAAGTATTCATGTCAAACATGATTTTGGCACTAGAAATGAAGCGGGAAATAATATGTTGGATTTTTTCTTGATGTACGAGTTGACTATAATGAACACTTGGTTAAAAAAAATAGACTTTGACCTTGTGACCTATAGTACTCAAATTGACTACATAATACGAACTACATGGAGACCTAGCTACATTGATTGTAAAGTTATCCCAGGTGAGAGTGTTGTCACTTAGTATAGAATGCTTGTGTTTGATTTTCGAGGTAAGAAACATAGACGAAAGCAACAAGTGCAGTCAAAGATAAAGTGATAGAGGTTTGAGGGGGTCTCTAACAAAGTTATGCACACAAAGTGTTCGGTAAAGATATATAGTGTATTGATAATGACACACATTTGGAAGATATGTGGGTATTAATGGAGTTGACAATTAAAAAAGTGACTATTTTGTGGTTCCCTACAAATTTTTGAACTGTGAACACAGCGTGAAATCAGTCTTTAAAATTTTTGTACCTAAAGAGCAGGTGAAATCAGTTCATGCTCTCACTCAGCAATCCAGCGTCTTCGCATACAGTTTTCTATTGCCTAAACTGATAAATACAGATCTATTAATGTATAGCTAAATAGCTAATACTGAAGATATTTTGATGTAATCTATACTCCCGATATTCTTAAAAATAAAGAATGCATCACAGTATGCTTCAAAATAATGGATACTGCCAACATATAAAAATGCAGATTAAAAAAATTATAAAAATACGGCCTTGTCAATTTGTCATTCTTTTATAACAAAGAAAGTAGCTATCAGTAACCTGAAAAAGAGGTCTGTAAAGTGGTTGTTATCTTACAAAATGCGCTAACTAATGATCCCTAGGGTAGTTGTTTCGGACTTGAAATGTTTTTAACATTGATCGAATTTTTTTAATGAATAAACCATCTTCAATTTTGAGACAAAGAACCTCAAAATGAGGTCTGTAGAGTGGTTGTTATCTACAATTATGTTCATATATGTACAATCAAAATGAGACTGAATTTTTGTTTGAGAATACTCCGTATTTGATATGGTTGGAAGTTAAGGTAGCTGGCACTGAATATGGAAGAACGAAATACCTGGATACGGAAGAGTAATGAATGGTCGATCAGAAGTAGTATGGCGGTGAGGCGGAGGGGTGCGGCAGCGGTGGAAGGTCGGTGGTACCGCGGTGGGTCTGTCGAAGCGGTGCGCCGGACGCCGGGCAGTGGTTGCTCTTTGGCTCGTCCTTGTCGGGGAGTGTTGACTGTTGATGTCAAGGGACTGTGGACACCGCGAGGAAGAAGCGGACAGCGAAAGCGCATCACAGCAACCGCTTTAGTGTTGGGCCTAGATTGGACGTGTGCATCAGGTTTAGGAGTTTTTTCGGTGGCCCAAGTTTCCTTGGGAAATTCTATTTACCGTTTTTTTTTAAAACAAATCACATAATTATTATTGATAACAAGGGTATCAAGAAATATAATAATCTAAAGTTAAACATTATAATTATAACGTTCAAAGCTACACCAAGGTGAGACAAAGAACAAGAAAACCTACAAAAGCTCTCATGTTCGTTAACCTTGCAACGATGTAGACTAGTACCACAGTGTGAATGTTCATGCTACTCGAAATGGATCCAGGTTGACCAGCCACCGAAAAGAAACTACTGAATTTCCCAATTTTTTTAGCCACTGGTAAGGAGTCAAGTCCATAATTTGTTCCCGTTTCAACGGCAATTGGAAAGAAAGTAATTCATGCAATCACATCTTACTGGATCGACAGTGGTTTAGTAGAGGGGCGATTAGCCTCAATATTGTTGCAGAAGAAATCCAGATTCATGATTGATAAAGTCGCTGGAGATCTAATACTAGCACACAAGAACACCCGACCGATGATGGTGGGGAATATATATCTGGCATCCGACCGATCTAGACAACACTAGAAAATAAACCTATAGATAGAACTGAAAATTGTGATTAAATGAATCCTTTTTCATAATTGAAGCAAAAAGAATTGAAGGGAGAGAAGAAAAAAGAAGAGGATGTGGGGGCTAGGGTCCCCCCCGCCGCTCCTCTCTCTAGACCTCACAGTGAAGGCAATATGAATTATTTACAATTACTTATGGAAATTTCTTTATTGAGGACCTGAAAGATAGACGAAATATCAAATCGTGACATGAAAGATGAAATGTATCGGTATAGGACCGAATGATGGAAATCATCAATCTAGGATCCGAATGATTGAAAACTGTCAATATAGGACCTGAGTTGTCAGAAAAATTATTTCTTTAAAAGAAAATATTATTTATTTATTTTAAATAATAAACATTTATAAAGAAAAATTCATCAAATATTAACAATGGAATTAACAAAAAATTAAATGAATCAAATCTTTGAAATATTAGGTCTTAGATTGATGGTTTTTCATAATTTGAGTTCTATAGCGATACATTTCACCTTTCAAGCCCTGTATTGATAATTCGTGTATCTTTCATGTCTTGGACTTACTTACTTATTTACTAGGTGCAATCAATGTTCTAAAAGACATAAGGCGTATCGAGGCAGCGCGACTAAGACTCAAGCCTTTGAAGCCTAGGCAAGTTTAGACGAGACATAGGCGTGAAAAGTCTGGCGTTTTGATTATTTCATCATAAATTTAATTTTCTTACCCTCGTCCCACTAACATTGAGACGTGAAGAGGTGGTAAACTAATTAAGAAAAGAGAGTTTATATGATTGATATTGAATTTATAAAGTAATACTGATCCAGAATGACATAAACTTTACCAAAATTGTTAAGTAAGAATTTTAGTAGGACAGATCGAAAAGGAAATATGGGACAATCTTAGTGGAAGAAAAGAATATTACATAATATTATGTGAAAACACAATTACCTTCTGAATAAAACAAAAGTAAATTTCTAATGTTCCAAGAACACCACTTCCAATTAATTGGATTGAAATTTTCTGAGCTTACTTGGTCTGGTCTCAATTTGTTTGGTCTGGTCTTTCTTGCATCTTTTTATTTTATATGTCTTTTGTCATTGTCAAAAATTAGTCTCACCTGGTCTGTTTAAGTCTAATATGGCTTAATTGATCGAAATTGATATGAACAAAAATCAATCCAATTAAAACATCATTAATTTTCAAAAATTAGATTTAGAAAAGTAGCCAGGTGATCAAGATGATAATAATACAAAGTCAAATTAATAATAATAATAATAATAATAATAATAATAATAATTACTATAAGAATTACTATAATTTCAGTATAAAAATTACTACAATTTCAGTATGAAGTGATACTTAGAGGCCGTTTGGAGCCTAGAAAATGGGTTGATAAACCTTAAAATGTAAAAAGAAAGCCAAACACATGTCATTTAGGCTGTTTGGACTGATTTTACTTATCAGCCAAAAAAAGTAACAAAATAGTTACTTTTTCAGTTGAAACGTATTAATGGATTGTTCAAAACCAAAAATACTCATTTGCCGCGGAGGTGGTGTTAAGGTATGGACTACTGCTGCCTTGAATGACAAAAGCAAAAAATAAGCAAATACCCTTAATGGTCATTTTACATTCAATTAGTCATTTCAGTCAACATATTACCAAACACTTTCACTTCATCATATTCAGCCTTTTCAGATTTTTTAGCCCTTCCAGCCGTTCCAAACATGCCCTTAGTAACATAGTTTTTGGTGAATTTTATGTAGCAGGTATTTTATTCAAATGGCTTGTATATGTGTATAAATATCATAATTGGGAAAAGTGTCAAATAGGTCCCTACTACTACGAAAATGTCAATTAAGTACACAAACTCAAATATCACCCAATTAAGCATGTGAACTTGTAAACAACGTCTGAATCTGCTTTTTATCAGGTGATTCACAAGTTATCAGTAAATGACAACACGTGGCGGCACATGGTGTGAGGTGGCACTTAATTATTTTATTTTCCCTTTTCTTTTTCTTTCTTTCTTCTTTCCTTCTTCCTTCCTCTCTTTTTCCTTCCTCTCTTCTCCCGTTGACCCTTTCTTCGCCCAACTTGTGCTCCTTCGAATCTATTTGCTCTTGATTTCATTTTTGGGTCTCTCCTCTTTGGTTCAATTACAATGCCAAGCTCCCCCCTTTTTATGTAAGAGTAAAACCAAGCTCCTCCATGTTTCTCATTTCTATTTGATTTTTAGATTTTGACATGCCCATCCAATCTACGGATTCACAAGAAAAATAAGAATAGAAAATAAAATAACATATTAATGGGGATGGATGGTGAAGACCGGCACTTTATGACATGGGAAGTTGGTATGAAAGGACGACAAAGTGTGGTGAAGATCACTGGCGCTCGAATCCCAAGCGGGTGAACCAGCGGCGGTAGTGTCCAGGCAGCGGCGTCCAGACGAAGGTCACTGCATCTAGTTGGATGTTAGAGCAAGAATTTAACGGTTTATGTTGCATTAAAGAGGGTTGATCACGGAAGTTAATGATACGTTTATGGGGTTTAATGGTGGCTGTTGTAACGAATCTGTATTCATTATTGTAATTAATAATGATATTAAGGCAAGAGGTTACTTCTTTGAGCAGACCAGCATTAATGGCAAGTTGTGAAACCGTCGGGTCGGATCCGTCAAGTCAAACCGTCCATAACGGACAACTCGAGCTAATGGAGCATTCACAAGGTCTAATGACAGTTATTGTAACATATTTATGTATTATTAGCTTCTTTAATATGATTAATGAAGATATTGATTGTAATTGACCGACCTTTATGACAGATTTGAAATCGTCATAAAGTGCGGCCAACCCGTCAGTAACGTACAAAGTCATTATTAAGGCTTTAATTACCTTTCTTATAAATAGGATAGCCTCATTGTAATCAGGGGAAGCTCACATTCGGATTACACACCAACTTTTCACTCTTACTTGCTCATTTGTCATCTTTGTTCTTGTACGAGATCCCTTCTTCATATAATTTCCTTCTTAGTTAGTTTTAGCTTATCAAATTATTGCTTAAACATTGGATAATACGACCCGCGGTGGTGTTCAGGTAGCTGCATCTAGTCAGCAATGTCGTACCACGTCAGAAGTTGGCCGGGGGGAAAGACCGGCGTTCAAATTCTAGGAGGCCAAACCGGTGAATGTAAAAGAAATACAGAAGGAAAGAAGCAAAGAGAAAACAAGCTAGAGAAAGAAGCACGTGTGTAGGAGAAGGGAGTCGGAGAAGAAAAGGGAACGGGGAAGAAAGAAACAAAGAAAGAAAAGAAAATGTGAAAATAGAGAAATTGAATGCCACGGCATATTTGACTCATCAAGTTTACCTAGAACCAGGATATCACCAGTCAAAAAGACAATTTGAACTTTTTATATGTGTTCGTGGGTTCAATTGGATGGTATTTGTTTTGATGCCCTTAATTGACATTTTCATATCAGTAGGGGGCATATTTGACACTTTTCCCATCATATTTTTACTAGTAGTTTGTAAGTCGTAGAATGGCTTCTCTCCCTTTAGGATTTAAGTACACTATGTGTTTCCCACACCGAAAGTGTTGAAGAATTCGTCCTAAGCCCCTCTTGAGCACTAAACTTGAGGCTTGCAATTGAGGTTTCAGCTATTGCGGGTCTCATCAGAGCCTTTAGCTCTCCCTCATGGCCGTAGTTGAATTTTGGTTTCCGGTTTCAACTTTGGGTTGCCTTTTTAGGCCATAGTTGAATTTTGGTTTCCGTTTGAACTTTGGGCTGCCTTTTAGCGTGCTTAGTAGTTACGCGAGGCGTTTTCCATACACTCTGCGCCTAGGAGCCTTTTAGAACATCGGGTAACGTACAATCACATATTTTTGAGATAGTTCTTAAACCTAAAGTCAGCATATCTTGTTTATGAGATATTTTCCTGAAATTATTGTTAGATGAAAATTTGAGTGATGAATGATGATTAAACGTTGTAAGAAGAAAGCAGGGTATTAGGGCGGCTGTGTCACAGCTGGCATTAGTGAATCAGTTTTGACATTTTTCATTTTTCCCGAGAGGAGTCCACACTCCTTGAGGTCGAAGGCATGTTCAGACTGAAGGGGTTATACAAATCTGGTGACCCGAGGGTTCCATTGTCGTTGTTGGTGCGGAATGTCGGCTGAGGCCGTTCTATTCTTTGAGGATTGTTTCCTCATCTGATGAAGAATATATGATTGAACATTTTTAAACTGTCTGGGAGGGGATATCACTTAACATTTTACATAATTACTGTCACGCCCCAGACCGCAATCCAAGCGCGTGTACAACCGCCGTATAATCAAGTGACGTCACCCGCGAGTCAACCTCACTTAATTACACAAGGCGTTCAAGAATATAATCCATCCATACTCAGTAGTAAACATACAT